GTATGTATGTATGTATGTATGTATGTATGTATGTATGTATGTATGTACATGTGCATATATGTCTATAGATACAACCATCAATGTGTCAACAGCTCTAACTCTTAAGCTTTCCATCACATGCAGGACTAGCTAACACGAGCACAGAAAATACAAACAGTCATTTCTTATGAAAGCCAAAACCTTCCTGTGTGTAAATGTATTCTTTGAAGGAAGCAACAAAACTGGCAAATTTCAGGCCAGGCGTTACAAATAAACAAAAAAAAAAAAAAAAAAAAAGAAATGTGCACATTTGGACAGCTAAAGGTCACCTCAGTGTTACCCTTTCAGCTCCTTTTATACATCAAAGATACAAGGCACTGCATTTGTCTATCTCATTAGTTTTGAATCCACCAGCGTTAACTCCTGATGACAAGTCGTGTGGAAGCAACTCCCAGCTGTTTTCTCTTTGAATCAGGAGGAATATTCACATAGTAATTCCTCATTAAGTCACAAAAAAGTAAAGAAGGCAGTCTTTATTCTGTCATTCTATGATTTGCCAGGGTGATAATAACAATAATTATGATCAAAATTAGCAACCATGTTTTCAGTTGAATTGTTAATAGCTTGGCTAAAATGTTTCACTGTTCAGAAGATGATGACAAAAAATACATTTTTTTTTTTTTTACTTTATTTAATCAGACAAATCCCATTGAGATCATGGATCTCTTTTGCAACAACGCCTGCAGGCAGCATAACATGCATGTTTTTGCACTGGAGAAAACCCACACAAACACGAGGAGAACATGCAAACTCCACACAAAGACCTCAGGTCCAAACCGGAGATTGAACCCAGGACCTTCTTGCTGTGAGACAACAGTGCTAACCACTAAGCCATTGTGCTGCCCCATATACTACAGCAGTGGGTAATACAACAGGGTCATTTTTGTCTACGCAAAAACAGAACATATCTGTGTGTTTGGAGGTTTTAAATTGTGACAGGTAATTAGGGAACATTTGGTTTTGAGGAAATGACAAGCAAAGAGATTGTAGATATGCTTCAAGTAGCAGGGCTGGCATTAGGCATGCTGAGCACATAAACACACTATTCACTTTCAGCGGTTGTTTTAATAGAGCGCGGCATAAAAAACAAAAAAGACCACACTCACTTTAAAGCCCCATTTGAGCAAAGACTGTAACTGACAAATGATTTCTCAGAGATGTAAGTAGTTCTCCATAAGACTGCAGACTGCCATCAGTACCAATTGACTCCACATTAAATTACTGTCCTCCCACCGCAGCTCTATCCTGCGCTTTAACGGTCGGTTATGAGATTTGCTTGACAGCATGAGCAGCCTGGTGCTCACTGACAAAGTTGTATGTGTCAAAGGAGGATTAGGCTAGGATAATGAAGTATAAACAGGTAAATTAAATTAGACCTGCTTCTTCAGCTGCAAAATAAAAACGCAGTGGCACTGACACAGAAAGACAAACTTGATTATATTCATGAGTCATTCAAAAGAAGCAGCCCATGAGTGGAAAGGAGGCATAACCATGATCTGTCTTACTGTGAGAAGCTCTACGATTGCTATAAAACAAACGTTTGTTTTGTGCTTCCAAAGTGCTCTTTAAAACATCACACTTTTTACCAGGTGGACTCCTGATGGTTTGGTTCCCTAGGAGACATATCTGAAGGCTGTCTTTACTTGCTCTACTTAATGATTTATATGCTTAACATGTGCTTCTTTTGTCTTTCTTCCAATAGGAGGTACACCTGGACCTGTCAATCTGTGTCTGTCTCTCCTTCCTGTCCTCTCAAACCCAGCCGGTTGAAGCAGATGGCCACTCATCCTGAGCCTGGTTCTGCTGGAGGTTTCTTCCTGTTAAAATGGAGTTTTTCCTTCCCACTGTTGCCTTTGTGCTTGCTCAGGGTGGGAGACTGTGACAAAGTGAAGATTCACCACAATCTTTTGGCTTCCTTAGAGAGAGGACTTTTACTAATTGGCTTTACTAAGGGATGTGAATGCTTTTGTACAGTCCTCTGGGACAAATTCTGTTGTGACTTGGTGCTTTATAAATAAACTGAATTGAATGGAATTGAAAAAGGGATCTGTTTTTATGCCAATTTCCCAAACTGTGTTGAACAGGGTGCTTGAGTTTACATTTGAAGTCAAATAAAGACTAAAACACAGCTGAAACTATCCACTTTCTTGCCCTCCTAAATGTAACACTTTATTTTAGTTATGCCCAGTACTGCATAAGGCTTACAGAACATGAACAAGCAGTAAACCACTAACAGCAGGAGTGGAAGGAATATGATTTGTTTTAAGCACCAAAAAACAAAACTGCAGAGCCAAAATATGACTGATCACAACAAGTGCCAAGTGAACGGCTCAAGAATTTACAACGAGGGCACTGTCTTCTCAAAACATTCATAAACACTTTTATTGGTGAACATGAGTGTCAACGTTACCTTGCAAACTGTTTCGACATCCCAGGGCAGAATGGTCTTTAGATCGATGAC